TGGCATGACCTTTGACTAGTATGTAAGTTTACTGCAGCCTTTCCAATATTTCAAACTTTATGAGGCGAACGTTTCGGCTAGCTCGCCTTCGTCAGAGACTGAAAGACGAACAACCATTCTGATTCTATAATAAGGCAAGATAATCCCAGACAGTTCTCTAAACTAGGAAACCTCCTGGGCTCGGTATACAAGAGGCTTACCTTGATCTGAATCGCCGGAGCGTTAGATCGACCACCCAGAATGTAAAGTGTGCATGCAATGAGCAAGCCTACCTCCTTCCTGGACTCATTGTGAATTTCGAAATTTGCAGAGGTCGAGAAAGGGCGCAAGGTCACGGGTTACAGCCACTTACTCTTTCTTCCTATTAAGTTGTGGGTTCCTAGCTGCAATCCAACACTCTTCAAGTGCTCTCCGCGCAGTGGTCTTCGTTTGTAGTGCCAAGGTGGCTACTGAAATTGTGAATTCGTTATCGTCATGGCACAAAACTCGATGCATTCACAGTGGTGTTTGAGTGCGAGACTTCCTTAGCCCCTCCAGGTGTTCTTTAATCGGTTTACGGAGGGACGCCCTGTTTTATCAATATACTCAGCTCCACAGGCCTGGCAACGGATTTCGTAGATAACCCCTGCGTTCATGCAATTACCCCGCCGATTGGAAGGACACACAAGGCAATCTGGAGTGTCACACAAGGTGTCGTAAAGGCGATTGCGGACCAGTCGTCGACAGAGATTTCCTGGGGGTATTCCCACAACCATGACCTCTTCCCGTAGATCACACCTAGACAAACTTGATTTAATTTGGACTCAATTGCTCAGGTCTTGCATAGGGATAAAGAAGCCATGAGTCAAAGTTTGGTCTAATTCAAACATCCATTGCTGTTAGATTGCGATTCAAATGGTCTTCAAGCTAGAGCTGGTTATAATAGGATTATGTCAAGCTGATTAAACTAAACCAAACCCTCAATACTAATATTGAGTTCCTCACATGCATATTGCACACATCTGGCATCATTCTTTTGAATTCCATAATTTCCCTGAGCAGACTCGATAGGTTGCTCAGGGAAATTACGGATCATTGAGAGGGGCGCGTTGTGGGAAGCTTCGTGATGATTAGGATTTCACCACGAAAAAGTTAACAAGAATAGCAGCAAATAAGAAAACAATCAGAAACCCAAGCTTCTGGCTGCTCAGCGATTTTTTTTTGGAGAAGGAAGGAATCAAATTCTCGACATGGTTCAATTCCATTCGATATGTGTCCTCACATTCCTATTCCACATTTGACCCTCTTTGTGAGTTACCAGAGCTAGCCAAACTGATAACAGTTAACAAAACCATTGTGATAGAAGGTTCAGTTGAGCAAAGCATCTACTAATTAAGTAATTGGTTGGGATCATTCCTGTGCTATCGGCGACCCTAAACTCTCCATATCTTCCCGCATTTTCTAATGGTGACGAGAGGTCAGTTAGAGCTTTCAACATGTTTTCTTACAGATTTTAGAGATGCTCCAATCTTGTGCACAGGACGATGCACCGACTGAGGGTGATCTTGTTTTAGTTGAAAAAATGATGTCGCCTGGCCTAAAGGAACGCTCTTACGATATGTTAGGTACGTAATGGTTCTAGCACATGTGCATCTTCTGTGCGCTCGATCCCTCGCACACATATTTACTAAGGTTAAAACTCAAGCCAGGTGAACCTTGTAAAATTCCCTCAAATATGAAAGAAACTCCGCTGTCGTTCCGAATGAATACGGTAACTGATAGCAAAACTTTTCCTATACATGAGCTGTGTCGTTTTTCAAAACTTGTTGGTTTCTGTTTGGAAATCGTTCACCTTACTTACTGACTTTTCATCCGTTCGTAACTCTTTCCTTCCCCATGTTTTTTTTCTCCGCTCGAACAATCTATATAACGCGCTCATGGTGACTTGAATTTTTATACTGGGAAGGGACCTTGCTTTTAGTGGGGAATGCTTTTGTTTACAACTTGAGCAATTTCTCATCCACACTTGATGAGGACTTTTATTTTTTTTCTGCTTTCTGTTCTTCTTCTTTTAATTTTTGAAGTTTGCAGTGTATTTGACATCAATATTCGAGAAGGCCACACACTCTCCACTTTTGTTGAAGTGCGCTGCTGTTGCGCTTAAGGTATTGACTTGCTATCATTGTTAGTGACAACAAATTCGTTATATTTTATTCACTTCTGTTTTTCTCCGTATTTGGCTGTATAATTTCGATAATCAAAAGGTGTATAATGCAAGAATTAGAATCTATCAGTAAAAGTTCCAAACACAATGATGCTGAACTTGTTGACAAGCACCCTTGCGATAAGTTTTTTTTCCTTAATTTTATGATATTGTCAGGTATTCGCACAAACCGAAATTGAACGGGATATCGTTGTGCTGTGCCTGAGCTTGCTATCAATCTACGATGTAACAGAATCCAATTTCCACGAACTCCGGGACATGCAATCTCTTCTGTATAGTGCCATTCACTACGCTCATTCTGCCACTAACAATGACCAATGCGCTGTTTTTGCGTAAGTTTCTCTAACTTTCAGACGATGAATATTTCTTCAATATAAGCTGCACATAGGTCGAGAAGAACAGCTTTAAGCGTTGAAACCACGAGTGTTGGTGCGTAGACTCTAAAAATGTCGTTCACGTTATTTCAGGCACTCCTTCGTAAAAATGCTCAAAGCTGTGCAACATTTCGCGCATCACAAATCTGGAACAGCAGACGAGATTGATGAGCTGATTCACGGAGCAAACAGACTATCACACACGCTGGCGTATAGTCATAAGTCGTACTACAACAGAGTACGTTAAGTCCCACTTCGGCGGTCAGCTTCCTGAAGTAGTTCAGAAATGCAAGATTTTAATAAGGATTGCAGTCATTTCTTGACTACTACGAGTTACTTTGCTGATTTCGTTCACTCGTCATTATTATCTTATACATTACTATAGCGTACCCTAATTTTTTAATTCCGGATTACCTCAATGAATTATAATACTTCGGGAGCCGTGCGTAAAGCTGTAGTTGAAATGAAGGGAGTCTACATCTGCACTGATTGGTGAATAAACGCCAACACAAACACAGTTTCCATTTAAGAGAAGCCGTTAGCTTTTATAAGTTATCAAAAAGAGTGGAGCGAAGAGGACGACGAAAAGATATGCAAAACTAATGCACGGAGTTTTTGACCTCTTCTGATGTTCCATTGTAAAAGCTTTTCAACAGAGTTGCATATCTGTTCGCTACTAAACGCAATTAGAGGGAGAAACAGAAGGAAGACCGCGGAAGAACGCTTGAAGGAAGTAGGCTTTTCACTCGTGTAGGCTCAGCCGTGTCTCTGATTGGAAAGGATTTTTTCATATTCTGCCTGAATTCCTGGAGCTCTCAACAAATGTTGCATTCTCCGAAACTCAGCGCATTTCAGTGATTCTACAGTCCCTGGATTCTTTTCGCTACAGTAAGCGTAATGACACCCCCTCCAAGTCAATAACTGTTTTTTCTGTCATGAAATAAAAAAATAATAAACTCTATCATGCAAAAATGACTATCATGCTCTCACTTTATCATGTAACATTGAGGGACAACGAAAGAAAGCCCCTAGGAATGGGCGAGGTAACGGGATATTTACTGATCCAAGTGTTACTGTGAATATGGTTTCTCAAGTTTTTTCCAGGTGATTGGCTCTATTCTATCTCACGTAGTCAGTCGGTACGATAGCATCCAAGTGGCCATATTCAAGCTCCACGCAATCAATGATACACACAGGTATGAAGTCTTCTGGTAGTGTTCTCTTTTTATATTTCACAGTCGAGTCGCCCGGTTATTGCCAGGCGATTCGATTGGGAAAGGCCCCTTTCGTGTAGAATGGCGTGTGGCCTACGTTCCCTCCCAATCCTCGACCCACTTCGTGAACGCCTGTCATGAGCGGAGTTCCGCTCAACTCATGTGTGTTTAAGCACATCGCATCCCCTATTTTTTTCAGAATGACAAAATTCACTGAGACTACGCTCGTTTTACGTTTGCTTCGCCCTTGATCACGAAGTCTTGTCCTAACATCTACCATAAGTGTTCACAACCTGTTCCCTGTATTCCTATCAAATTTGAACGCTCTGAGACCAAATCACAATTTTCGCGCAACGTCCCTGTGGGTAGAATCTCGCGATATCACTTACTAAAAGTGATCCTATCTTTTCTCCTGTACGTCTACCAAGTTTGAACGCTCTAGGTCCCGTGCGAGGAGGTTATTAAATTCCTATCGAACATTTATTTCGCATAAACCCCGCCCCTGCTGGGCGGAGTCCGCTCTTACAACCCATCATAAACGTTCCCATCTTGCCGACTGTACTCCTTCCAAATATCGATGCTCAAGGTTCAGTGGGACATGAGTTATGAATTTCCGCTCAGACACTCATATAGTATTATATATACATATACACACATACGCACACTCACAAACACAGCAACAGACACACTCAGCGGATTACATAGTCAGGACATTTTTGTGGACTTATTTGCCTAGAATATGCCGTTCGGATGGGTACGGCTCTGTGATCGAAATGGCCATTCTGTTAGGATGTTTTGGAGGTCGGCTATGAGTAGAAGTTTCTCAAGGAACAAATACGTTTGTTAGACAATGCATCCTCGATTGTGCTCAAAAATGATTCTGCATCTTCTCGGAAGTTTCATTGTTCCACTTTCATGGAAAATTCCAAACCTAGAACCAAAAAACAGTTCTACGTTCATTTTGCAGTTCTATCGAGAATCAAACATTCCTCACAAAATGAATTCTGTAAGGACCTGAGCAAATGGTAGTATGATGGTGATGTATCCCACTGTATTGAGGATGCGCTGAGGAGCCGGGTCCAAACTTCTCAGCAGGTTCAAGATGTATGCATACTAACGTTACTCTCATTTGAGCCAACATCTTTACTGCTGATTATTTCTGGGCGCTACAACCCTACTGCTTTCTTTAAATTGTACTGTTGAGTACGATACCTTCCAGGAAGAAATCAGTGGGCTGTGATTCGTCGTTATCAACCGAGCATGGTCTCTATGTCCGTTGCCGGTCTTCGACATTAATCTCACCCCGCCTGTTTTCCAAACTACTAATGTACTCTGTGCTTTGCTTTCAGCTGCTCTCTTGCTTTTGTGGTAGAAGAAAACATACCGTTTCAAAAATACTTTCGCTTTTGCACTCCTCTACACAATTAGAACTCGAGAAACTTGACGAACTTCGGCCAAAAGTATAGAAAAACTTTTTTTTCAAAAAGTACGTAGTTTGTTAAGGCTGTTTCAAAGACTTTTCATAGAAGGTATGGTAAACTCAGTGCTGCATCCATATTCGGCGGGAACTTCCCCAGCAATCCAATGAATGAGAAATTCCCGATCCCTAATCTCTACTGTTTGCAATTTTACTGATAGAAAAAATGAACAATTTTTCCCTAACGAGAACCATGATTATGTACGCCCACAGTGAACGCTGATGTCATTGGTGCATAATCATCAGTCACAGAAGACCTTGTCAAGAAAAGCGTAGCTGTTGTTAGCGATGATTCGAAGGATCAGCTTGGAGTTGATTGGCGAGTTGTGGGCAGAACTTTGCGCGTGGACGAGACTTTAGACCGTACTTGCGCTTGGCTGGCACCGTGCTCTTTATCTCTTACACTACTGCGACCTGCCTTGTCTTTGATCCTTGATGGCTTATATGTCACACTTTATGAGCACTCACACGTACAGGGTATTGAGCCAAATTCAGCATTGGATATTAAGCTTGCGCAGCAGTGAATCTTGAGCATGCATTTAATTGAAATGAACACGCCGTCCCTCAGCATAACTTTAGTAAAGGGTAAATTGTTTATGACATGATTTAAACCAAATATGTAGCAAAACAACCTTGGAGCCGCAGAAATCCACCAAAAATGTTATAGCTATGCCCATGTAGGAAGCAAACGACTTCAACCGCTATGGTGGTCATAGAATGCGACATTGAAAATGGTGGCGCTTTTTGGATTACGCGAAAAAAGTCTTTTAGCAAGCAATAACTCCATTCATACAAAAGCACCAACTACATTACCCCACGACTATCCGAATTGTCCCTCAGTAAATTTCAGTTCATCTATGATGGCTACAAACCTTCCTCCGGCTGAACGACTCCAATACAAGAGAATATTCAAAACACTGAAGGCTACAGTGAAGCCAATAGTATAGATAATGGATTGATCCAATACGTGTCTATATTGTTGTTGTTTTTTGTTGTTGTTTGTTAGGCGGATCATGTTGATCAAATTGTTTTCTGTTGACTTGTTCATTCTCGTTGATATGTTTATAGTTTTTTATCGGTCGGTCACCGGTTGGGCTCCGCACACTAACCCGTGCGGCACAACAAAGAATGCATCAAACCGGGATAAACCTTTTTTGATGTGGCCTCCAACTTCGGAAATCTTGTTATAGGCTGTCGTGGGTTATGAGTTGTGCGAAATGTTCGGGAACGCTAGCTCTCGCTGACTGATGATTTATTGAGCTCCTTCGTCTGATTTGTGGATCTATTTCAGAAACATCCCCATTTTTCTCGGTGTCTAGGCGTTTTGGAGCAAAATTATGGTTTAATCATTGCCCATTTTCACCCAACAAGGTTGGTGCTTCCATTTTGGAAGCGAGACTAATGAGTTCATCTGTACTTTTTTGATGTTGCACGAAATCTCAGCCATCCCAAAGTTGACCCAACTTCTTAATGTGATAGCGAATCTCGGGATCAATAGAAACGAATTCTTGCATAGATAGACATAACCGAATTTAGGTAACAACATATTATAACTCCATATATAAAGGGTATCCCAAAATAATTGGCCCCGAAATCAGAAATATTCGAGGTAGAAATAATTTACCAAATTCATTTCATTCACTATTATATAGTTACACAATAGGTTTTCTTGCAAAACGCATGGTTACTAAAGTAAAATTCGCAATATCTTTTAGATGACAGAGACTCATTCAGTGCCACTTGCAATCATTGGCACGCGAGGGGCAGAAGGGCATGAAATTCCTCATCATCCCTAGAATATCCGTGCAGAAGAGTACCAAACGATGTAGAGAAGGAGATTCAATCGAAGAG